CTTTCCCTTCCCCTCCCCACAACAGACACCCATGAGGCGGGTGGAGCTGAGAGAGCTCTTTCGAGGACTGCTCCTGAGAGAACAGCTCTGAGAGAACAGCTCTGAGAGAACTGGTGACTGACCCAAGGTCACTCCAGCAGCTGCATGCGGAGGAGTGGGGAATCAAACCTGGTTCTCCCAGTTTAGAATTCACGCTCCTAACCAGTACACCAAACTGGCTCTCTTCAATTAGAAGAGGACGATGATGATGATGAGGATCTATACCCTGCTCTTCACTCGGACTCTTAGCGGCTTACAATCTCCTTCCCTTCCTCTCCCCACAACAGACAGCCTGAGAGGTAGGCGGGGCTGGGAGAGCTCTTAGAGAAACTGCTCTTGAGAGAACAGCTCTGAGAGAACTTGTGACTGACCCAAGTTCACACCAGCAGCTGCATGTGGAGGAGTGGGGAATCAAACCTGGTTCTCCAGATTAGAGTCCGCCGCTCTTAACCACTACACCAAACTGACTCTTAACCACTACACCAAAGGAAGGAGAGGGGAAACCATCACAGGCCATGGAGTGTGAGATGTGGGGGGAAAGCCTTCTTTTGAGCAGAAGTATTTACCACAAAAGTCATTTTGCTTGCTCGGAACGTAACAGATGGCAAATCTTCTCTCTCGCTCTCACTTATTGCGCAGTATACACAAGCATCTATTTTTATTCTGAAACAGCAGAACAGTACCCAAAAGGAAACACAGCCAGGATTTTTCTACTCAGAGACAGGTTTTTCCCCCTCCCTCCCCGAATAGATCTTTGATTTAATAAACCACTGGGCCAGAAGATATTCAAAGGGATGCGTATGTAGGTAGGTTGTGGTATTCTGACCATTTGTCAGGTTCATCTTGTAAGGGCAGAACATTCTCTGGAAATGCTCCGTAAGGCTGGAAGGGTGATTTCACAATCGCTCATTTTTTGCAACATTTTCGGTTTGGCAAGGCATTCCCTCAAAACCCTCTAAGCTGAGTCACGGGTGTTTATCTCATTTAGATGACAACCTCCTGATTGTATAGCGGTGTGTCTTAAGATCCGCGCCAGGTTCATTCCGACCTCTTTTGTTAGATGGGCTACTTTCAACATGGCATTTTGAAGGCATCGGATAGCTGCTCCATCTGGCAAATAAAATTTGCAATGGGCTATACACAGTTTTACTACTTCTACTCGTCATGCTGGCCACATGACCACGGAAACGTCTTCAGACAGCGCTGGCTCTTCAGCTTTGAAACGGAGTTGAGCACCGCAACCCTAGAGTCGGATTCGACTGGCCGTTTCGAGCAAGGGAACCTTTACCTTTTACTCCCACTCAGACTGGCAATGGTTCTCCAGGGTCTCAGGCAGAGGTCTTTCATGTCACTGACTGCCTGGTCCTTTCAACTGGAGATGATGGGGATTGAACCTGGGACCTTCTGTGTGCCAAACAGAGACACGGCTACTGAGCCACAGCCCCTCCCCATGTCTCTCCAGGGTCTCAGGCTGAGGTCTTTCACATCAACTACTGCCTGGTCCTTTTAACTGGAGATACCGGGGATTGAACCTGGGACCTTCTGCATGCCATGAGGATGCTCTACCACTGAACCATGACCCCTCCCCATGGCTCTCAAGGGTATCAGACAGCGGTCCTTTGCATCCTCTGTTTGGTGTCGTGGTTAAGTGCGCGGACTCTAATCTGGGAGAACCGGGTTTGATTCCCCCACTCCTCCACTTGCACCTGGCTGGATGACCTTGGGCAAGTCTTAGTTCTGATAAGAGCTGTTCTTGAAAAAGAGCAGTTTCTGTCAAGAGCTCACTCAGCCCCACCTACCTCACAGGGTGTCTGTTGTGGGGAGGGGAAGGAAGAGGAGTTTGTAAGCCGCTCTGAGACTCCTTCAGGTAGTGAAGGGCGGGGTATAAATCCAATCCTCTTCTTCTTCATCGCCTCCTGCCTGGTCCTTTTAGCTGGAGATGCCAGGGATTGAACCTGGGACCTTTTGCATGCCAAGCAGAGGCTCTAACTCTGAGCCATGGCCCCTATCTATGTTTCTTCAGAGTCTCAGGTTGTGGTCTTTCACATCAACTCCTGCCTGGTACTTTTACCTGGAGATGCCGGGGACTGAACCTGGGACTTTCGCCATGCCGAGCAGATGCTCTACCACTGAGCCACAGCCCGTCTCCAGGGTCTCAGGCTGAGGTCTTTCACATCCCCTACTGTCAGATCGATCTCTTTCAACTGCAGATGCCAGGGCTTGCGCCTGGGACTTTCTGCATGCCAAGCAGAAGCTCTGGCACTGAGCCACAGCCCCTCCCCAACCACACATTCAGCTGTACATGGCACTGAATGTAACATGAGAATTACTCAACGCATGCATAAAAGAAATCAAGCCTACAGAGATTGTACTTGCGTTCACTGTTAACTTGTAGGTAGGGGCAGGGGTCATTTCGTAGAAAAAGAGGCGCAGGAGCTCATTAACATAACTCATTAGCATAACTTATTTGCATATGCCACACCCCCTGGCGTCACCGGAAGTGTGTCAGAAGGCAACACCCACCGCTCGGGCTCCACTGGACTGTTTTGGATTGCTAGGTATTGGGGGGGGGGAATGTGCAGATCTGTCCTCACAGAGGAGGGAGAGCTTGTACCTGAATAAAACTTGGTCTTAAAGGTGCCACTGGACTGTTTTGGACCGGGGGGGGCTCTGCAATTTACCTGGCTGCTTCTTGCTCTGACTGAGGGCTGCTGGGAGCAGGGGGTGGGGCTTGTTGCAAGTGCCCGCCCCCTGGGCTTTTTACTGCCGGAGCTCCACTCCTGTGCGATCCTGCAGGAAATGACCCCTGGATAGGGCTAGTGTGAGATGGTCACTTCCTCTATAGAAACAGAGGAGGGGGGAAGAGACTGCTGGAACGGGTGAGAATGGCTACGGATGCCAACCTCCAGGTGGCACCTGGAGATCTCCCACAATTACAACTGATGTCCGGACAATGAAGACCAGTTCCCCTGGAGAAATTGGCTGCTTTGGAGAGTGGACTCTATGCCATTGTGCCCCATTGAAGTCCCTTCCCCTCCCCACACCTCACCCTCTACAGGCTCCAACCCCCCGAATCTGGCAACCCTAAGGACAGGTCATTGCTGAATATTATTTTTTTGGGGGGGGGCACTGTGCTGTAGACCGAGTTTCACAGGCTAGAAAGAGTCTTGTCCCACAGAGGATCACAGATGTCCAACAGGCCTGTATTACTTGGCGACCAAAAGGATGTAAAATGCAGCCCCGCCGCTGTGTATGGTGGCTCCCAGGGGTCAACAGATCTACTGTTTTTTTCTGTCTCCTTGAAACTGTGACAGTGAGAGCATCCAGGGCATAAAACATGCGCAGCAGTGGGCTTAGAACATTTCTGAGCCCGCGAGGACATTTAGAGGTCTAACACGGCGTGGTGGGCACAGCCACAGAATGGCTGCCGTAAAATGGCTGCCGCAGGAGGCGGAGCCAGCCACAAAATGGCTGCCTGACTAACCTTCGGTCATACAGTGGAGATCCCTGTGCTTTGGTGGCAGCTGCTGTGAAAGCAACATTCTAAAAAACATCTGCACTGCCTTGGTCAGGCCACACCTGGAGTACCGTGTGCAGTTCTGGGGGGCTCACTTCAAAAAGGAGGTAGGCGAAATCGAGAGGGTGCAGAAGAGAGCGACGAGGATGATCAGGGGTCTGGAGACTGAGCCCTGTGAGGAAAGGCTGAGGGACTTGGGAATGTTCAGTCTGGAGAAGAGGAGGCTGAGGGGGGACGTGATGGCTCTCTTTAAATATTTGAAAGGCCGTCATGTGGAGGAGGGCAAGGAGCCGATCCCGTTGGCAGCAGAGGATCGGACCCGAAGCAACGGGTTTAGATTAGATGCAGAAAGGTATCGGCTGGATATTAGGAAAAGCTTTTTCACAGTCAGAGTGGTTCAAAGGTGGAATCAGCTGCCTGGGGAGGTGGTGAGCTCCCGTTCACTGACAGCTTTCGAGAAGAGGCCGGATGAATATTTGTCAGAGATGCTTTAGGCTGGTCCTGCATTGGGCAGGGGGTTGGACTAGATCAGTGGTGGTGAACCTATGGCACGGGTGCCAGAGGGGGCACTCAGAGCCCTCTCTGTGGGCACGCATGCCATCGCCCCAGCCAGGCCCAGACCATCATTACAGTGTCGAATTCTCTGCCAAATAATTTTAAGTAAATGAAAGCATTTGGGATTGCTTTCCTTACTTTGTTTGGATCATCTTAAGTTAATGTGTGAGTTGTTTTTCTAAAGTAAAACCTCAGTATTCAGGTTAAATTGCCGTATTGGCAGTTTGCGATAAATAAGTGGGTTTTGGGTCGCAGTTTGGGCACTCGGCCTCTAAAAGGTTCGCCATCACTGGGCTACATGGTCTGTATGGCCCCTCCCAGTTCTACGATTCTATGACCCCTGGCTTAGAGAGTCACAAGTTCCGCAGGCTTGCTCCACAAGATGGCGCTAGCAGCCACAGCTTCTTATTTCATTGCGGTGGTGATGGTGGGGAGAAGAGGGCAAAAGAAATACAAACAACATCACATTTGCGTCTAAGAAGGAACTACCACCCAGGACATCTTACCCAACAAGGAGACACAACACTACAGCACCCCTGGGTTCAATGCTCCCTCTAAGCTGCGGAGTCTTGTGAGCAAACGTTCTACTTTGTGAGCTGCTGGCATTAAAGTCATGAGCGAGCGATTTGGCTGCTGCATAAACTAGTCTGCTCTGGAGCCCTCCTTCCTGAGCGACGGCGAAAATGTGTGAGCCAGGGACTAAAACACTGTGAACTAGCTCACACTAACTCAGCTTAGAGGGAACCCTGCTCTGGAGGAGCCCTCCTCCCTGTGCGAAGACAAAACTGTGTCAGCCGGAGGCTAAAACACTGTGAGCTAGCTCACACTAACTCAGCTTAGAGGGAACACTGCCTTGGTTGTGGGGGGACGGGACAAAAAGTTTCGAAGCAAACCAGATTTTTATTAAAATTTGGCAGGGCCTGATCCGACTCACGGCCACCAGCTAACCATTCCTGACGTACAGGATACAGAATGAAACAAAAGCGGACAAGTAAGATGTTAATACTCCCGAAAGGGGGGGGGGGAGCACCCCCGGATACGAAAACGCAGCCGACTGAGGGTTAACCCTTAAGCTACTGTCCTCGTTTTGCAGCCCTGAAACCTTCCACCCGATCGGCACCCTTGTGAATTATTGCTAAGAGATTCTTTCGCCCAAAGGACAGACGGAGGGCGGGGCGGAGAAACCGGCGAGATGGATTTAATTGAGCAGGCAAGTTTGCTCCAGCAAAGCGTCCCCGAAACACGGCGCGGTGATCGAAGTAATCCTCTGGTGTTCTGCGGGATGGGGGGGAAACGGCTCATTCTCACGACTTCAGCGTCTTCTCTGGTGCATGCACACACACACGTCCGGATACCTGGGATATCTGGGAAATCGTTTGCTGCATGTCTCCCACGGGACTTTTAAGAACTGTCCCTGCCGCGTCCTTACCGGTTCTCACTTTCAAGTCATCCAAACTCTCAGTAGCAGGGCTGCAACGGAGACACGGGGAACACAGGCGGAACAAACTTTAATTCAGGGAAAGAACGGCCTGTGCGATTTTCTATCCCCTCGCTTAAATCCCCGCGTTAAAAGGGTGGGGGGGAACGGTGGCTCGTCCTCACGTCGTTCAGGATTGGGCGCTCTCCTAACGACCCATTTGAAACCTACAAAGAGTCTCCTTCCCATTCTTAGGCCACAGGCTGAACGTTAAATCACCCGTCTGCTCCATGACTCGACGTGAATCCTTTGCGCCGACCCCGGTTCTTGCAGGATCAGACGTCTCTGAGCACGGTAAAAGTCACGAGTGCTTTGAAACGGGTATCTGTTTTAAAAAAGGGGGTACTTAAAGGGCTTGGCACGATCCCTGCGGCTCCGGGGCCGTTTCAGTGGTTGTTCTTCGTGGCCTCCTTAGCGGCGATGATGAGAGGTGTGAGGCTGGACAGCGGCTTGGCGATTTTCAGGAACTGGTGCTGGAAGAAAAGGCAGGAGAGAAGTTTAGAGGATCGAAGACTCTTTTACTCCCTGTCAATATCCAGGGATGTAATGTGACACATTCAGAGGCAGACTGATAATTGAGGGCAATGGGAAAACGGGCTAACATTGCCTCCGTAAGGTTCCCACACTCGCTACTCCTCTTGGTTGGTCCACTACCTTTCCGATACCTGTACTGGGAGGTGGCGCACGGCAACGATTCATAGAATCATAGAATGTTAAAGTTGGAAGGGACCTTGCAGGTCGTCTAGTCCAACCCCCTGCACTCTGCAGGAGCACAGTCAAAAGACAGCCCTACATACCTACATACCTACGACCAGTGTTCCCTCTAAGCTGAGTTAGTGTGAGCTAGCTCACACTCTTTTAGCCTCCAGCTCACACATTTTTGTCTTCGCTCAGGAAGGAGGGCTCCAGAGCAAACTAATTTATGCAGTAGCCAAATCGCTTGCTCACAACTTTAATGCCAGTAGCTCACAAAGAAGAATTTTTGCTCACAGGACTCCCCAGCTTAGAGGGAACATTGCCTACAACATACCCGAAAGATGGCCATCCAGCCTCCGCTTGAAAACGTCCAGCAAAGGAGTATCCACCACCTCCCGAGGCAGTCTGTTCCACTGCTCAACCACTCTGATAGTGAGGAAGTTTCTCCTGATATTTTGCCGGTAACGACTACCTTGTAATTTCCACCCATTAGATCTAGTCTTGCAATCCGGAGCAAGAGAGAATAGATCTGCTCCCTCTTCTACATGACAGCCTTTCAAATACTTGAAGACCGCAATCATGTCCCCTCTAAGCCTTCTCTTTCCCAGGCTAAACAGACCCAACTCTTTCAGCCTTTCCTCATAAGACTTGGATTCCAACCCTCTCACCATCCTGGTTGCCCTCTTCTGGACACGCTCGGGCTTGTCAACGTCCTTCCTAAAATGTGGTGCCCAAAACTGGACACAGGACTTCAGGTGAGGCCTGACCATAGCAGAATAGAGCGGAACTACCACCTCCCGTGATCTGGACACAGTGCTTCTGTTAATGCATCCTAAGATTGCATTCGCTTTCTTCACATGTAATTCATTGGTACCCCTCATTATTCCCCAATGGGGACCCAAAGTGACTTACATTGTTCCCCTCTCTTCCATTTTAACTTCACAACAACCCTGAGAGGTGGGCTAGGCTGAGAGCGTGTGACTGGCCCAAAGTCACCCAGCGAGCTTCCATGGGACAAGTGGGGATTTGAACCTGCATCTCCTATGTACTAGTCCCACATTCTTTTTAAAAACATAATTAAATTTATCGATTTATTGAACAGCAATGAACAAAGTGCAATCTTAATCATGCATTGACAGATAACCATATCATTAAATACATCACTACATAGTATGTTTAAATCATTCAAAATTTCTATGAATACCATACCATGAATATCCTATCACTGATCAGAAACATCATATTATATTATAATATTACAAATCCAAAATATCATCGTCTCTCATATCCAAAAACGATTACCGTAAGCGTGATTAACGCTACCTTATGAGTAGAAACTTAACCATTCACAAACTATACTCCTTTTAATCAGGAGATAAAAGTTACACAAGTTGACCTACAAAAGGTGTTCCCTCTAAGTTGGGTTACTGTGAGCTAGCTCACAGTTTTTTAGCCTCCGGCTCACACATTTTTGTCTTCGCTCAGGAAGGAGGGCTCCAGAGCAAACTAATGTATGCAGTAGCCAAATCGCTGGCTCACAGCTTTAATGCCAAGAGCTCACAAAGTAGAATTTTTGTTCACAAGACTCCACACCTTAGAGGGAACATTGGTCACAATGTCACTGTATCAAGAATTAATCAAGTACCTTCTGGAAGTGATACTGTCTGCTGTATATTCCAAAAATGGAAACCATTTGTCTAATAGATTGGAGAAGCCTGAACGTGTCTCTTGATTTAGCTCTGAAATCAGCTACCTTGTCCATCGAGAATATTTCCCACACCACAGCACAGCATTCATCAACAGAGGGTATGGAAGCCATGCCCAGACCAGGACTGACAAAATCAACTGCCAAGACAGGCTCTTTCCCCTAAGTCAGGTTTCCCTTGCTCAAAAGCCAGTCGACTCCGGCTCTAGGGGGCGCTGCTCATCTCCGTTTCCAAGCCGAAGAGTCAGCGCTGTCCAAAGACATTTCTGTGGCCATGTGGCTGGCATGACTAAACACTGAGGTGCACGGAACGCTGTTACTTTCCCACCTATTGATCTACTTGCAATTTCTTGCTTTCGAATGGCTAGGTTGGCAGGAGCAGGGGCCACGGACGGGAGCGCACTGCATCACACAGCACTAGAGTCTTGTGCTGCCCCCAGTCAGCATTATCTGTAGTTTAGTAAAACTGCGCTGTATCTTTAAGACTTGTTGCACCTGGGAATTGGAGTCCACAGTTAGGGATCCCAGAAGCTTCCCTCTGTCTCGAACTGCTGAGCTACTGACTTTCCGGTCTGCAGCTCAGCGTCTTAACCTCTGGCCTCTAAGTCAGGATGGTATAAATTCAACTGGAGCCCCGGCCTCACGTGGCGTTTCTTTTCCTCCCTAAGCCAAAGTTACCTGGAGGAGCTCTTTAGCGGAACCCCGCTTCTCCACGTCCATCTCCAGGCAGCGGGTAAGGAAGTCTCTAAATATGGGCGACAGCTTTTCTGGGTTCTGCAGCTCTGGCGTCCCATTGGTCGCAATGAGATATAAAGCCTACGGGACGGGGAAAAAGCACAAATTCAGCCCGAGGCACAGAAACTCCCTGCCGAAAACCTCTTAATTTGTTCAGGATATGAATGAACCCGAAATCCTGGCCCCCCCACCTCTCTCGGTCTTCGTCCTAACCGCTTGGAGCGGTGATCCTGAGCCACCGCTTGGCTGCTGTGGCTAAACGGCTGAAGGCGAACAAGTCGAAATCAGATCCTGACGAGATGGAGGCGATTCATTTATGGCATTTAGAGATCGCCTGTCTCGCTGAGCCTCAAAGCTGGTCAGGAAGGCCAAGGTTTTGGAAGGTATTGTGCTTCCCGTGTTCAAAGAATTAACCCTGGGGTTGCCAATTCCAGGGTGGGGGATTCTGGGAGAATTTTGGGGGTGGAGCCTGTGGAGGGCGGAGTTTGGAGAGGGGAGTGACCTCAGCAGGGTATAATATCATAGAGCCAAGAACCAAAAAGGTCAAACTACATTAACCAAAGACCAAGAGATGAATCTGAAAACAATTGAGTTTTCTATGACTATTATAACTAATCTCTTTAGTTATATATCTGAAAGGTTTAAAAGTAATCGATAACACTATAAGACAGTTTTAATATGAAAAGAGTAGTACGTGTTGTTTATTATAACAAACTGTTGTGTGAAATCTTATAAAAATTGCTATGATGTTACATATTTTACACTTATACTATATAATAAGTTCGATAAGATAAGATAAAAAATGAAAATATAGTATGAGAAATTGGCAGATTGAGTAGGATTTTTTAATACGTTAATACAGATTTTAATAGGTCATATATATATATATATCTTAAGCTATATTCTTATGGCATTACACCATATATATCTTGTTAAACATTTGTTAAACTATTATACCATAGACTTTTTTACGTTCACACATATATTTTGAAAAATGAATGTCCTTAATTTCTGTAAAATTGCCCTCACGCTAGGTTTTTTGGTAATTATATTTTCTTTTTGTTTTCCCCTATTCCTTCTTCTTTTCTGTAACCCTTATAATAAACAATTATATTTAAAAGAAGAACGTTACGGATCAATATAGGGCCGATTGCTAAAAACTATATGTATAACCTAAATATTATCAAAAACGTGCATTTATTTTTCAAACAGTTAAAAACATTTATGGGCCCTCCTGTAGCCTCATTACAGCAATGCAATGTATATGAAAAGGAACTATTGAGACCCGACGCGCACATTGGCTCTGATCAGTAGTTCGTATCTCACTTTCTGGACCAAAATTAGAAGGCATACAGTAAGAAATGTCACTCAGCATGTATGCCATTGACTAAAGCATAAGGCCAGACTCAAGGAGTCCTCACAAACATTCTTTTGCCTTGTGTAATTCCATTCTCGATTGTTAAACTCCTTTCTTGGTCCTATGTCGTGTATATTGTTTTTGTACATGGTTTTAATATTGAATAATGAGCCTTAATGTACAGACGTTGTTTGACCATTGAAGAAGGCCGATTTGGGCCAAAACGTGTCGGGTTGCAATAGTTCCCTTTTGTATACATAGCATTGTTAGGCTATAATGAGGCTACAGGTGGACCCATAAATGTGTTTAACCATTTTAAAAATAAATACATGCTATTTTCGATCATATATAGGTTACAGTAAAGGTAAAGACCATGGGGTCGCAAAGAGTCGGACTCGACTGTGAGACTGAACAACAACAAAAAAAGGTAAAGGTTCCCTTGCTCAAAAGCCAGTCGAGTCTGACTCTAGGGTTGCGGTGCTCATCTCCGTTTCAAAGCCGAAGAGCCAGCGCTGTCCGAAGACGTTTCCGTGGTCATGTGGCCGGCGTGACTAAACACCAAGGCACACGGAACGCTGTTACCTTCCCACCGAAGTGGTACCTATTTATCTACTTGCAATTTCTTGCTTTCGAACGGCTAGGTTGGCAGGAGCTGGAACTAGAGACGGGAGCTCACTCCGTCATGCGGCACACTCGGGTCTCGAACTGCTGAACTACCGACCTTCCACAGCCTGCAATTCAGCGTCTTAACCACTTGAGCCACCGCAGCTCCCTCATTTAGGTTATACATATAGTTTTTAGCAATCGACCCTATATTGGTCCGTAACTAACCTTTCTGGTTCTTGATTCAATTATTTTGGGTTGTTCTGCGCCCCCCTTTCTTTTCTTTCTTATAATATCACAGAGCCCACCCTCCAAAGCAACCATTTTCTCCAGGGGGAACTGATATCCATGGTCTGGAGATCAGTTGTAACTCCGGGAGATCTCCAGAGACCCACTTCGAGGTTGGCGACCCCAGTGCCCTTTGACCTACTAGGCTCCGCCCTTAAACCCCGATCAGAATCATGCAAGGGGGGGGTCACTCTGAAGCTTTTTTATTTGCTTCCTCTACACCCCTGGGAGGAAGGGTGGGATGGGGGGTGGTGGAAAGCTTACCCGCAGGGGGTTCTCGTTGAGGTACGGGGGCTCCCCTTCTATCATCTCGATGGCCATTATCCCCAGAGACCAGATGTCCACCTTGGGCCCGTACGCTTTCCTCGTGACCACCTCGGGAGCCATCCAATAGGGAGTCCCCACCATTGTGCTCCGTTTGCTCTGCTCCGGCGTGATCTGAGCGCAGAAGCCGAAATCGGCTGGGAAGAGAAGGAGAAGGACTTGGGTGCTTTCTCTTGACGGTACAGGTCCCTTAGACTCGGGGGTCCTTTCCTGCAGGAGCGCACAGGAGCGGCGCTCCGGCAGTAAAGAGCCCAGGGGGACGGGCACATGCAACAAGCCCCGCCCCCTGCTCCCAGCAGCTCTCAGTCAGAGCAAGAAGCAGCCAGGTAAGTTGCAGAGCCCCCCCCCCCGGTCCAAAACAGTCCAGTGGCACCTTTAAGACCAAGTTTTATTCAGGTACAAGCTCTCCCTCCTCTGCGAGGACAGATCTGCACGTCCCGTCCCCCCCAATAGCTAGCAATCCAAAAGAGTCCAGTGGAGCCTGAGCGGTGGGTGTTGCCTTCTGACACACTTCCGGTGATGTCAGGGGGTGTGGCATATGCAAATGTGTTATGCTAATGAGTTATGCTGATGAGCTCTTGCACCTCTTTTTCTACAAAATGACCCCTGCTTAGACTCAAACTGGGGTTGGTGGGGGAGAGGAAGAGGGATAGATCCCCTGCACTATCAACGGCTAATGGTTCCACACAGGAGATATATTCTGGAACTGAGGGTCACGGCATTGGCTTGGCCCACTACCTCAAACCTACCCCCATCAAGATACAAAGAAATGAAACAAGGAGGAGGAGGAGGAGGGTGATCCTCGTTGGGGTGATTAGATGCACCGCTTGCTATTTCCCCCATAATAAACTGCATCCAAATCTTATCATACCATAGGTTTAAAGGTGGTCCCGAATCTGATTTCCACTTAGCAGCTATGGTAAGTCTAGCTGCGGCAATCAATATGGAGATTGAGTCTCTCATTTGTTGTGGTGGAGGTGGATTTGGCCAAGTAGTAGTAATTGAGGGGAGAAGGCGATTGTTAGACTGGAAATCAGATTGATAGCCGTAACTATTTCCTTCCTCTCTCTCTCTCCCCACCTCTTTCATGCTTTCTTCCATCTCGCACTCTCTCTTTCTTAGAAAAATTAATATCATTAGCAAGCAAAGACATATCCCTGGACAAATGAATATCAGGATCAATATCTGTTTTTAACCCCTTTTGTTTTTATTTCTGGCAGTCTCCTTTAATATTAATAAAGCAAATTTGCATATTTTTTCTCCTAATAAAAACGTATGTGTGATATCTGTGCGTGTCTTGCGGCTCTCAAACATGTGACATTTATTCGATGTGGCTTTTACGTGGAGCAAATCTGGCCACCCCTGGGTTAGAGGGAACACTCTGCCTAGGGCAGTGATGCCCTCTGTTCTTGGTGCTGGGGGGCGGGGCAGATACCAGGTCCCTTTCCAATCCTCCCCAGCAGTCCCCGTCCCCGTACTTAGTTTGACGGAGCCGTCCATCCCTAGCAAGATGTTGTCGCTCTTGATGTCCCGGTGGATGACTTGGTTGGAATGGAGGAACTCCAGAGCCTGCAGACACTGTGGAGGAAACCCAACAGACGGCAATTAACATCATTCGGCGAATGGGACTTTTGTAGGGCAATCGTCAGACGAACGGACCTATCGACTGGCTAACATTGGGGTTAGATTAGGGAGAGAAGGAGCTTTCCACTGCTTACTACTTCAGATAACATCTCACACCCCACCAGGGCTATTTTTGGGCAGGAACGCACAGGAACGGAGTTCCGGCTGGTTCCCAAGTTGGCCACGCCCAGCAGGAACTCATTAGCATAATAGGCCACACCCAACAGCAGAAACTCATTAGGATTGGCTACAATTAGGGGTGTGTGGCCTAACATGCAAAAAGCCCTGGGTTTTGACAACAAACAAGATAAAGAGAATAAGAAGCAAAAGGTAGGTGTGGCTGGATGACCACGCTTCTGGTAACATGGTGGTGTGACCCAATATGTGAATGAGCTGTGCTGTCAGGGTGTGGCCTAATATGCTAATGAGTTCCTGCTGTTGGGTGTGGCCTGTTATGCTAATGAGTTCCTGCTGGGCTTTTTCTACAAAAAAAGCCCTGCACCCCACCACATATTTTGTTAGTCTTGAAGGTGCTCCTGGACTCTTGCTCTTTTCTTCTGCTACAGACAGACTGACACGGCGACCCACCTTAAGAACATAAGAACATAAGAGACGCCAATGTTGGATCAGGCCAAAGGCCCATCCAGCCCAACACTCTGTATCACACACTGGCCAGAAATACCAGTGCCATCAGGAGGTTCACCAGTGGGGCCAGGACATTAGAAGCCCTCCCACTGTTAACCCCCCAAGCACCAAGAAGACAGAGCATCACTTGCCCCAGAGACCCTGTCTATACCTTGTGGCTAATAGCCACCGATGGACCTCTGCTCCATATGCTTATCCCCTGCCTTGATCTTACCCATCTTGATCTAGTTATGTGATATATAATCGCATTGCTGGATCCATATGCTTACTGCATATATTGGTTTACTGGCTATCTAGCATTGGAGAAACTGTTTTTTTAGTTGTACTCTGTGTCAAGGAGAGTACTCCATCTGTCTGTGTTATACCTCTGAGGATGCCAGTCACAGCTGCTGGCAAAAGGTCAGGTCCTACGATGCCAAGACCACAGCCAGAGAGCTCGGAAAATCTACAACGACTAATGAACTCCGGCTGTGAAAGCCTTCGACAACAAATTGTTTTTTTTTTATTGTGCTGTGTGGCTTGCAGCTGATTACAACAATTTTATTTTGCCTCCTGCGTTGAAATGCTTTGAAAAAGAGAGAAAAGCCACATAAACGGGGGGGGGGCAGAATTTTGGCTCACTAGGAACCCCCTTCTAAAACTTACGGGGCTTTCTATTACCCACAGTAACTCCACGCTATCTCCCTCCTCTCCAACGTGACCCGCAAGAATCTCACATCAGTCGACAATGAACAAGTTGATATTCTGTTTTTCATATTTGGTACCTATAGGCAGGGGTCATTTCGTAGAAAAAGAGGTGCAGGAGCTCTTAGCACAGCTCATTAGCATAACTTATTTGCATATGCCACACCCCCTGACATCACCGGAAGTGTGTCAGAAGGCAACACCCACCGCTCAGGCTCCACTGGACTGTTTTGGATTGCTACCGTGTTTCCCCGAAAATAGGACACTGTCATATATTTATTTTTTCTCAAGAAGACACACTAGGGCTTATACCACAAATGCATAGAAATCCTGGTAGGGTTTATTTTTTGGGTAGGTCTTATTTTCGGGAAAACAGGGTAGCTAGGGGGGAACGCACAGATCTGTCCTCACAGAGGAAGGAGAGCTTGTACCTGAGAAAAACTTGGTCTTAAAGGTGCCACTGGACTGTTTTGGACTGAGGGGCTGTGGGGGGGGGGGGGCCCTCAAACTTACCCGGTTGAGCTCTGACTGAGGGCTGCTGGGAGCAGGGGGTGGGGCTTGTTGCATGTGCCCGCCCCCTGGGCTCTTTACTGCCGGAGCGCCGCCCCGGGGCCCTCCTGCAGGAAATGACCCCTGCCTATAGGCATAGCAACACGGAGCCGGAAGGGACCCCAAGGGTCATCTAACTCAACCCCCTGCACAACGCAGGAAATTCACAGCTACATCCCCCCCAACTCCCCCAGTGGCCCCTGCTCTGAGGAAGGCAAAAAATCTCCAGGATCCCCGGGCCAACTCTGGCCTGGAGGAAAATTCCTTCCTGAACCCAAAGTGGCGATTGGCATTAACTCGGGGGCATGTAAGAAAGGGCCCCAAGAGCTGAGCGCTGGCTCAGCCCTTCCTGCCCTCCCTCTCACAATACACCTAAATTCATAGGGGGTCATAGAATCAGCATTGCCGTCTGATGGCCATCCAGCCTCTGCTTGAAAACCTCCGAAGAAGGAGAGCCCACCACCTCCCGAGGAAGCCTGTTTCACTGAGGAACCCTTCTAACTGTCAGGAATTTATTCCTAATGTTTTAGCCGAAAGCTCTTCTGATTTCATTTCGACCCGTTGGTTCCGGTCCTACCTTCTAGTGCAAACGAAAACAACTATGCATACACAATCACAGCATTACTAAGCAACAGCAGAAAAGAGCAAGAGTCCAGTAGAGCCAGTTTGGTGTAGTGGTTAAGTGCACGGACTCTCATCTGGGAGAACCGGGTTTGATTCCCCACTCCTCCACTTACACCTGCTGGATGACCTTGGGCAAGCCATAGTCCTGTCAGAGCTGTTCTTGAAAAAGAGCAGTTTCTGTCAAGAGCTCTCTCAGCCCCGCCTACCTCCCAGGGTGTCTGTTGTGGGGAGGGGAAGGGAAAGGAGATTGTAAGCGGCTCTGAGACTCCAGTCTCCTCTTCTTCTTCTCCTCTTCTACTGCCTTTGCAGTGGAGGTGGTGTGGCGGATTAATAAACATGGCTTCTAAATCGCTTCGCCTCCACCCCGCCCCTCGAAAACCTTACCTGCTAGATTCATGCATAATTCAAATGCTAAAAGCACCTACGCCTCGCCGGGAAATAACCGGCCCATCTGAAGAGCGATCTCTAATTGCTGTGGGCTTCTTGAAAATTAATGGTTTGCGGATATCTGAAATATCATATTCTCCTTGGCTCTCATCTGACTCTCTCTCTCTCTCTGCTCTGTGCTCTCGCGGCCTGTATCCTTTGCCACATAAGTGCCTACTCGCGGAGATAATAGTCGGTATAAAAATAGATTTGCTCATAGCCACTGGAAAATGAATAGGTCTTTGGGGGAAACCCCCCCAACCTTTTGCTCTTTTTACCCTTTGCCAAGGTTTAAAGGCCGCCAATAGAGGAGAGCACGGAATGCTGGTTGTTAACTGTTTGTTGCTGAGGTTCTCCGACTGGGAGCTGGGACTCTATCGCAGGGGTGTCGCAAGGCCGAGAGGGCGGAGGCAGAACAGGGGCGAACACATAGGAGGCTCAATGGCAGACGTCTTCTGCGTAATGTGTGAGATGGCCATGAAATGCAAACGGTTGCTTAGTGGATTCAGATGGGTAGCCATGTTAGTCTGTCTGTAGCCGGAGAAAAGCAGGAGCACCTTCAAGACTAACAAAATCTGTGGCAGGAGAGGAAGTTTCGTGAGTCCCTGCTCACTTCCTCAGGTACAGCTAGCATGTGAGTCCATCTGTCCTTATATCACAAGGTGGATGGATCTCCATTCTGTATGGCTAAATGCCTTCCATGGAGACAGATCAAGACGAGTAGCCGTGTTCATCTGCTTGTAGCAGTAGAAAACAAAAAGAGTCCAGTAGCACCTTCAAGACTAACCAGATTTGTGGCAGGGGAGGAGCTTTCGTGAGTCACTGCTCACTTCTTCAGATACAGCTAGAATGTGAGTCTATCCTTGTATCACAAGCAGGGGTCATTTCCTGCAGGAGCACACAGGAGCGGAACTCTGGCAGTAAAGAGCCCTGGGGGCGGGCACATGCAACAAGCCCCACCCCCTGCTCCCAGCAGCCCTCAGTCAGAGCGAGAAGCAGCCAGGTAAGCTGCAGAGCCCCCCCCCGCCCCCCGGTCCAAAACAGTCCAGCCCAAGTTTTATTCAGGTACAAGCTCTCCCTCCTCTGCGAGGACAGATCTGCACGTTCCCCACCCCCAATAGCTAGCAATCCAAAAGAGTCCAGTGGCGCCTGAGTGGTGGGTGTTGCCTTCTGACACACTTCCGGTGATGTCAGGGGGTGTGGCATATGCAAATAAGTTATGCTAATGAGCTCCTGCACCTCTTTTTCTACGAAATGACCCCTGTGTGTAAGTAGTCTGTGTATAGTACTTGATCTGTGATTAGGTTGGGAAATAATTGGAGAATTTGGGAGCGGAGCCTGAGGAGGGCAGGGTTTGGGGAGGGGAGGGACCAACAGGTATAATGCCACAGAGTCCACCTCCCAAAGCAGCCATTTTCTCCAGGTGAACTGATCTCTGTCATGGAAAGTTGTGTTTTCATATTTGACTTGCTGAGTTGTAATGTTTTGTGCCTGCGGTTTTGAAATGCATCTAGATTGTGGTATGAAACTATTCAAATCTTGCACACCTCAAGATCTCTTCGTAAAGTGACCCATACTTTTTTTTTATCGTCGTCCAGACCTTTTAAAAATCTCTCTGGGGTTTAGAGAGATATAAGTAAGGCTCTCCTTTCCACTACACCAAAAGAAGAGACTGGATTTATACCCCGCCCTTCACTACCCGAAGGAGTCTCAGAGCGGCTGACAAACTCCTTTCCCTTCCCCTCCCCACAACAGACACCCCGGGAGGTAGGTGGGGCTGACAGAGCTCTGACAGAAACGGCTCTTTTTCAAGAACAGCTCTTGCCAGAACTGTGGCTTGCCCAAGGTCATCCAGCCAGGTGCAAGTGGAGAAGTGGGGAATCAAACCCGGTTCTCCCAGATGAGAGTCCATGCACTTAACCACTACACCAAACTGGCTCTACTGGACTCTTGCTCTTTTCTGCTGTTGCTTAGTAATGCTGTGATTGTGTATGCATAGTTGTTTTCGTTTGCACTAGAAGGTAGGACCGGAACCAACAGGTCGAAATGAAATCAGAAGGGTTTTCGGCTAAACATCTGGAAGAACTTCCCAAAAGTTAGAGTGGTTCCTCAGTGGGACAGGCTTCCTCGGGAGGTGGGGGAGGTTTTCAAGCAGAGGCTAGATGGCCATCAGACGGCAATGCTGATTCTATGACCCACTATGATTTTAGGTGTATTGTGAGAAGGAGGGCAGGAAGGGCTAAGCAGGAGTTTGTAAGCCGCTCTGAGACACCTTTGGGTAGTGAAGGGCAGGGTATATATCCAATCTCCTCCTCCTCCTCTTTTCTTGTTGGCAGAGTTCAGTAAATAATCTAATCTACGCTTTGGAATTTGCTTTTAACAAATTTAGAAGAAGAAGCAGAAGAGATTGGATTTATACCCCGCCCTTCACTCGGAGTCTCAGAGCAGCTTACAAACTCCTTTCCCTTCCCCTCCCCACAACAGACACCCTGTGAGGTAGGTGGGGCTGAGAGAGCTCTTGACAGAAACTGCTCTTTTTCAAGAACAGCTCTGACAGAACTACGGCTTGCCCAAGGTCATCCAGCAGCTGCAAGTGGAGGAGTGGGGAATCAAACCCGGCTCTCCCAGATTAGAGTCCGCGCGCTTCACCACCACACCAAACTGGATTTTGCAAAAAGGCAAGAGCTGACGGCAGGCCATTAATGCCACGGAAGAGACCTTCAGAAATCAAGCATAACACATAACATCGAACAGAGGGAGAAACAACAGGAGGTAGAGGCTGAACCG